CTAGGGTGATGCTAAACACCTGAACAAAGCCATCAGGAAGGCCAGCTCCATCACAGGACTGACCATGAACAAAGCCATCAGGAAGGCCAGCTCCATCACAGGACTGACCCTGAACAAACCAATATTCTGTTTTTCCAGGTTATTTAATTTGTATACTGTGTACTCAAAGTTTGTTTGCAATACATTTACATGGTTGGCATTATGTGCACTGTCTATGCAGTTTGCATTTGGAGCTAAATGTAAGCTCATCTGTGCATGATGTTCTGGCTGCTGTATGCACCAGAATTTCCCCCTGGGATCAATAAAGTGCATCTTAATTTTAATATTCTAAGTAGCCTTTTGGCTATATAACGGGGCACTTCCATTGTTGGTGACCTGCTTTGAAAGCTTGCATACTTCATTAAGTAAATAGATATGTTCAATAAGCAGAACTATGTTAGAAAGACATCACATGGACATGTATGGAATCCAGAATTCTTTGAGGCAGAGTCAACATACACGGCACGTGAGTCTTCAGGGCCTGAGGTGGACTCGTCAGCGCCTTCCTGTTCGACATCTTCATCTTCCTCATCTGTGGTGCCAGACTCCTCACTGGAGGAGGAATAGTCGGTCACCTTGTTGTGGGGCCGCACCTCCTCCACTGCCCTCAGTTCTTTGGCTAGGGCGGTGAGATCCTGCCAGAGGGAAGGAGGGCTTAAAAGTCAATCACTGGCTGATGGATGTGCACCCAGCAACCAAAGCTACAGTCAGCGTGCAGGCCCCCAAGTTTGCCATATCACAAGGATCTTCCAAGAGAGTTTACCACAGTAGTATAACAGTAGTACATTCATTTAACAGTTCTTCACTGAATGGCAGCTCAGCCTCATTTCCTTGTCTTAGCTTCTTGACAAAAAACTAGGATGTATTCACAGGCAGGGGTCAGTAAGCAGGATGCTGTTTGGAGGAAGTTACATTGCATGGACCAATCAATAGCAGGCTGGTGACAAGTCAGCCAATGATGCATGTGCTGGTGAAAGGTAAGCCAATGGAGAATGGGCTGGTGAAGTGCCAGCCAATGAATGGTGAGATGAACACAAATAAGCTTCAAGAACAGAAAGAAACCTGTCTATTCCAGAGGAGGTAAATTTGACAGTAGTGAAATTAATGGCAACTGTCACAGACAGGTGAATACGACAACTTATTTTTTCCCCACCACGAGTGCTGGGAAAGCCCTGCCTTAAGTAACACTAACATTCTCATAGGTCTTATCAGCAACGGTTTGTTCAGATGGAAGCTTACATAGGGAGCATTACAGCAGATTCTGTCTGCCCAAACAGCTCAAGACTTTGTCAATCAGGACGATATATGAAATCCAGCTTGTAACCTCAAGTAGTTCTAAGGACCAAGCAAAATAAAACTCAAGCTCGTTTGGGGAGAACTTAACTAATAGCTCAGAGTTGTTAAAATCTTATCTAGCTCTGATTTAAAGGAACCCAGGGTTTTAGCTTGCACTACACTAGCAGGAAGACTATTCCATACTCTAACTACACGCTGTGTAAAGAAGTGCTTCCTCAAATTTGTTTTAAAATGTTCTCCCGCTAATTTCCACTTATATGGCCACGAGTTCTAGGATTTAAACTAATACTGAAGTAGTCAATTGGCTAAACAGCATCCAAACCTGTCAGAATCACAGACCAGTCCTCCCCTTAGGCTCCTTTGCTCGAGGTTGAACAGATTCAGCTCAGCTAACCTCTCCTCATAAGACATCCCTCTAAGACCAGGAATCATTCTCGTAGCCCTACATTAGACTTGCTTAGACTTTTCTAAATTGTGACACAAGTATGGCAGAAATGTGCTGTAGGAGGGGGTGGGGGATGAGGACAGTGTCCACTGCCCCCCGTGAGCTGCTGATGTCTCTCTGAAGCAGCAACATGCATCAGACAAACAGATGGAGCGCACTGGCCAGCAGCAAGAGGGACTGGAGGAATGACTAGACCGTTTACACAGGCTTACCACGTCAGCCTACAGAATTCACACATTCATTGGTCATGTGATTAGGTTACATGACACCACGAAGGCATCAAGTCGGAAGAGCAGTCGGTGAAAGATAAAAATGGAGAGGGGGAGAGAGAAAAAAAAAATCCATGAAACACCAGAAATGTCAGAACACCAATACACCCATGACAATGGGACAGCTCATCTCTTACACATTCTGAGTGGCAGACATTATCTATACATCTGTAGACTTTTTCCATGTATGACCAGATTTTCCCATATTTGCAAATTAGTTTTTCTTGTCCATTTGGAGAACTTAAAGCAAAACCACTCTGATGGCAAAAACAAGTTAAATTCAACTGAATAATAGGATTTATTCAGAGTCCTTTGTATCATTGAGCCGAAACTTACCGCCGGTCGGCTTGGCCGGACAAAATCCTTCTTCTCCTCTGGCTTCTTCGCAGCATTTTCAGGCCGCTGTAACGGGGAGCCCTCTGACTTTGAAGACGCTGAGGGACCAGAAGACAGGAAACTAGATTCAGAGCATGGGACTTTCCCAGGATCACTCACATTTAGCCCATGAAAGACAAAACATCACAGGAATAATTGTTTGGATAACAGAACTTGCTAATCAGCCAAGAAGCATCGTCGTCGTCATCATAATCAAAAAAAATTACATTTGTTATTTAGCATACAGCTTTATCCAAAGCAACACATTTATTTATTGTTTGTTTATGTTTGTTTGTTTGTTTGTTTGGAAACCAGGGTCAGCCAGCCCCTGGAGCTAATTGGGGTTGGCATCACTCTACCGACCCAGGGATTTGAACCAGCAACCTTTCAATCACAGACGCACCATCCTAACCCACTGAGCCACATGTATCATCATCATCACCACCACCACCACCACCACAACAACAACGTTTTAGCAAACGCTTAAATAATGAGTGTGACTCTGACTCACATCGGACCCGGAACCTCTCCCCTGAGCCGCTCTGGGAGCCGGCCTGGGAACTGGAGTTGCTGGAGCCAGAGGAGCTGCCACTGCCGGGCCTGGAGGCCAGCTTCTCCACACGATCCCAGAGGAGGCGCGGCTCAGGGTTGCTGTGAACGGGCGAGAGAGAGAGAGCAGTCGTAGAAGAAAAGAAAAAAAAAAACACACAATCCTCATTGACTTATTCCGAAGGATCTTGCTGCAGTTGGGCAGAGAGTGCAGGAGCCGTACTTTGCTGTGCTCCTCTGGGCCGCCTGACCACTGGGCTGCACGCCCCCTTGCAGTGGAGAGTCTCGCCGGGACAGCACCGGGGACCGGGAAGTCGTCCTCACCGGAACCTACCAGAAAGACAGGCTCTCTCAACATCTGCGAGCACAAGGGCAAACAATCCCCAGTGCATCTCTCATATTCAGTGAAGCACCACCAATTAAATTATGTCCTAAACACAGCAACCCTTCAACAAAACACAGATCTTGGTCACTAGATATAACAATATCATTCACATTTCTGTTACAAAGAGAAAAAGACAAACAATGAACAATGAGCTTCGGGGCTATAAAATGACACCAATCCTGTTGGTTAGAATGCCCAGGTGGGTTGGGTAGCCTGTAACTATGTGCATTTCCTCTGTTCTTCCATCTTTATTCCCACACTCATATTTTACCTCCATATAATGTGAAGTCTTATGGAAATCTATGATGCTCTTTTTCATGTTAAATCTCTGTTAAGCGCTTATAGGCAACCGTCTTAAGATGGACACCATACAGAAACCAAGAGAAGTGAATTATGGAGCAAACCCCTGCTACACAATTTCCTGAGCAAAGTACCACACTCAAGAGTCTTTCCAGCCATAGATGCTGTGCGTTCAAAGGCCTGGACCCAGCAGTCAGACATAGTATGTGGGAGTTTAACTGACAGACAACTATAACTTGGGCAAATCCACTTGGATAAAAGCATCTCTTAAGGACCTAAATAACACTAAATATACAGAGAGAAGACTGTCATGATCCATGATCTGAAGCCCAGAAAAGACGGAGACAGCAGTGAATGTCTGCACGAATGGTTCAGAAACAGGAAGTGGATCGGAGCATGTGGAACATTCCTCACACACAGCAGGGGAAGGAGAGGTGGTGCAGGAGAGGGTGACAATGATGGCAAATGGTTATAAAAAAGGGGAAAGGATGGGTTTTAGCAAACAGGTCACCTGACAGACATGCGGGGTTTTCAGAGACCAGGAGGACCAATAGGCTCATTTCCTCGTTAGTAATTTCGTAAGCTGCACAGCTGAATAACTGGGCATTCGGTATTACAGTTTGGCATAGACATATTTATCAGATTTAACTGGCAGTGCCCATTTCTAGAACCCACAACCGTTTGGTCATAACAAGCTGGCACCGCCTTGGCCGGATTGCCATCACAAAAATTACATCATTCATCTTAAAGACCGACGGCAGCAATGACTTGGCAAGTCAGTTCTGCATGATGATGAAAGGAAGAATAACATAACACTGCTTATTAAGGCAGCGGTAATTATACTGTATAACCTGTTAACACCACGACAAGAGCAAGCGACACAGTGATAGTGGCCACTGCCAACAAAGAGATCCTCTGGCCTTTTTATCACCATCATCCTCCCAGATTCACCATCACAGACCAGGACTAACAATATGCTGGCCAGTCCAGACAGATGATCATAAATCTCTCCAATGTGGGGATGCATCACAGGAAAGCCATCAAAGCGGCAGTGACCACCCCCTGCCACTCCCCCCCCCTTTGTGAGGACAGCGAGTAAAGAGTGGGGAGGGAAGGAGAGGAGCATTGAGGAGGAGGGGGATGGGAGCCTGTCCTTACCCTGGGAGGGGCCTCCTCACTGTCGGCCCGAGCCCAGGCTGGCTGCTTGTGCTTGGGGGCGGGCTCAGGGGGCGGGGCCCTAGGCTCTGGGGGGGGCGGGGGTTCACTGCGTGCAGGTGCGGCCTGGCGCGGCTCCTGCGGTCGGAGGTGGAGGTGTGCAAAGCTAGGAGCAGGGTCACTGAAGGAGTGGGAGCGGGACACGGGGGGGGCGGCCGGGTGAGACCACTGGAGAGGACAGACAGAGGATGGGGGGGGGAGCAGTGAGAGGGGAACAGAACACAGCCAGGGGTATGGGGGAGGGGGATGGATTGTTATGATGAGCATGGGTCACATGTGGACATTCAGACTGAACACATTCACACATGCCAGCCCCGGGGAGCTGGGCATGTTACACGGTAATCCCAGCAGTAATCCCAGCAGTAATCCCAGCAGTAATCCCAGCAGTAATCCCAGCAGTGCACCGCCTCTCCTGGCCTCCGCTCGTCACACTATTTATACACCTTCACTGTCGAGGCCTATAATCTCATTCCACACGAAGGAAAATGACTTTGGCCACCAACCAAGTTCAGGTTTACTGTCCCACACATTAGGAAATTAGCCCACCTCAGTAATGTGTTCTAACAGTGAAGCAGTGCATGAAGCCTGGCCTCTGCAGAAGCCTCTCTGCAGTTCATTTCACACTCTACTCTTGTTAATGATAAATACTGCATCAGCAGAAGCTTTGGCACAAAGTTACGCCCAAATAGGGAATGGAAATATCCTCTTAGGTGACCACAGGCATTTCCCCAGATCATGATCAGTTAGGATTAATGTACGTGAGAGCTATACACTTGCTAACACATACCAGTCCAGTTTAAAATGCAGAACACAGATACATCATGTGTGGTTTGAATGGCTCTTGATCATTTCCTGTCACGTGACATCTGGCAGCCAATGACAAATACACTACCACTGTCAAATCAGAGTCGGGGACAGCAGCAAGGCCAGGGGAAGCCTGGGGCTCGAGCATCACAGCAACAGGTGCAGAGACCACCAGACACTTACGGTTAAAGCTGGGGGGGGGGGAGTATGGCCATCCCAGATATAGGCGAGATCTGATGCCATCACCTCTGCCACCAGCTGATGGAGGAGCGGGAGAACAGCGCCGGTGGTTACCTGTGGTTCCATGGGCCTGTGGGGAGCGGAGGCGACAACTTCTGCGGAGCTTCCGTTGTGGAAGGGAGCCGGGGGCTGCTTGGACTGAGCGGCCTGGGGGGAGCCCTGGATGTTCTTTCGAAACCTTTCATCAGCCTAGAGGGGTGGGATGGAATGGGGGTTCAGGGAGGGACAATCAGAAGAGGGGAAGGATGTGCAAGGGGACCTGAATCACAGATTCACACAAGAAACTGCAGGATCCCTGGTGATGTAGGTGCTACACATCTGGGTCTTAGAAAACACAAACTGACACACGGTTTTCATGGGAATTTTTCTTCCCCAAGCTTGAGAGGATTCATCTTAGATAAATGTATGCTTACAATGCGATTTGCGATTACATTTTTCATCAGGAGCAGAAAATGAGAGAATTTCATCCAAGAATCAAGATGACCTGTACACTTTTTAGATGAATTTCCACAGGTGAAAGAGTCCCTAACACGCATCTCTCAAGCAGTCAAAAAATTTCCCAAGAAACCTACTGTTGCTTCAAATACCAACACCATAACAGGAAAAGAATGTCCATGGAGTTACAAGGCTCTTTAGATGAAACATCACCTCTTACCGAAAAAAGACACAGGTTAAAAACAATCAGGGTCACACCAACAAGCATGCAAGTCAGGAGCCCAAAAGGCTGACAAAGAAATACCCCAGTTGCAGTCAATGCAGTCAGTGTGGCCATTTCACACCTACAATCCAGCAGAGAACCAGTGATATCCACAGAAAGCTGGACGACAGTTAGTTCTGGGACAGGACCAGACTATAAACACTCTCCCACAGTCTTGGGGGAAGCTCTCTCACCTGTATGTGCATATCTCTTGGAGAGCAAGATGAGATATGTGAAAACTAAAAATTCCTATGGACCTGTGCTTGTACAATGGAGGATAATGCATCAGTATCATTGTAAAATTCAGCTTTGGCATCCAAAACTGCGATCACTACAGTCACATACAGATATGGGGAACATAGAGACCTCCCTAAAGAGCGCTCTGAGAAACATCTGCTCTATGCAACAATGCACCAGCGTGCTCATCTCAAGCAGGAAACTGCCTTCAGATGGGTCACTCATCTGTCAATGTCATTCTTGGCACACGTACGGCGAAAAGGGGGCAAAAATGAGAAGTCCCAGGCGCCGGGGCTCTCAGACCCTGCCAGCCGTCCTCCCCAGAGCGCCACACCGCAACGCTTAAATCAAACCCCGCAGGAGTTTACGATGAAACACCCCGTAAATGCTTTAAAAGTACTCGCCCAAATCCTAATGAATGGACATGAGGAAAATGAATCAGACCAAGGTGGAGCTAAACTGGTGTAGCCACGGAAGAACCAGCCCAGAGTGAGATAGACGTGCAAATTCACAAGTACACTAGCAAAAGGCTCTTAAGAGTAACCTTTGACAGAAATGGCTACGCTACCTTTCCCATGCTGCTGAATTACAAGATGCCATAGACTCCTGCTCCAAATGCAAACAGCTAATCTTTCATTCTTCAGCAGAAACCTGTGAAACGCACCGGACTTAAGTATCACTGTGAAGTGATTATGTGAGCCAGGCAGTATGAGGTCAGCTAGCGTGAATGAAAGCGATAAATGAGTGCGTGCGGTGATGCTGACATACGATGAGCTTCTGGGTCAGAGAGAATTTTGGATGTGGGTAGAAAACAGATGATGGGTGATAATATATGGTCAGGAGGAGACATGAAGCCAAAGCACCTTAAAGGTTCAGTCGTTTCCACGAAAAGCTCCATTTTAGGGTTGACGAGATACCATTAAAAAAAAAATCATTTAAGAAAAAGGTCCAATCACATAAGGCACCCTGGTCTCCAAGAATCCCAGTACAGGCTGTGCTGACAATTACAACAGAACCCAAAAAGATGTTTCATCTTAAGAGGTTTTAGTAAAGGCTGCATAGTGTATGAGCAAGCAATTTCAGACAGCAGCACTACAGCCTTCAGAGAAGATGTAAAGAAGAGAGTTTATGGTGTGCAAGCAAAGGTTTCCCTGGTGTCCTGCCTTATCTCAGACAACGGCTCTCAGTCCTGGGGGGCATCTGCTGTCATGTGCTTTCTTAGGTCATGCACATGTAACACTGGCTGGTGGTGGTGGGGGAGGTTACAGGGGCCGTTAATTTTATTCAAGCAGCATTAAGGAGATGGGCTGGGAGACCATGGACAATCCACTCTTAAACGTGGGTTTATTGTCCAAATGTCCAGACCACTGGTGAGGTACAGGAGCTGCGGGGAGGGGACGCCTTGGTTCTAAACGTACATTTCCAAAATAAAACACACAGAACAGTGCAAGGAGCAGGCTGGGGAGGCCCGCTACCAAAAGGCAGAGCTGAGGTCAGGCCCACACGTCCTTGCAACAGAGCATTGAGGAAACGCAGAGAGCAGCAGCTCAGGCAGAAGCAGCAGGAAGCCGGCGGGAGCACAGGCTGGGAGCACAGGCTGGGAGCACAGGCTGGGAGCACAGGCGTGCAGGGGGGGTGGGGGGGGTTCACCTCTCGGGCTCGCTCGGCCACCTCAGGCTCAGGTTTGGGGGTGGGGCCTTTGGGCTCTGCGGGCGAGTGCGGGTGGGGGTGCGCGTGCGGCGGGGGCTGCTGAGGGGCCTTGGTCCTGTCTTGATGCTGCTGCTGCTGCCTGTGGTCCTGCTGGAGCGACAGCAGGTAGGCCTGCTCCACCTGCAGCTGCCTGTGGAGGCGCTGAGCCTGCCGCTGCTCCTCCATCTCCCGCCATTTGTACTCCTGACACACAGAGAGCCCAGGCAGGCGGATGAGGCCCCCGCTGGCATAAGGGCGCAGTTTTTGGGGAGGGGGGTGGAGGGGCCATAGTATTTTTTATCTGGTGTATGATGAAGAGGGGGCAGAGGCGTAGAGATTACAGGAGCCTGACAATGAAGTGGGTTTGGGATTTTCCCGACTCCCAGGCTCAGAACTAGTTAGCTCTCTTTGGAGAGTAGGAGTTAAACATTAACTATTGCTGGCAAGAAGTAGAGCTGGAAGTATTAACTCATTCATTTGTCTTGTATCCGTCCATTTTCCAAACACTTACCCAGGTTCACAGAATGTAATTTACACTTAATTTAAACCCAGGATAGGTTCCAGCTCACCCCATGAGCCTGATCAGGATTAGCAATTAGAAGATGCTTTTATACTTAGATATACTGTATCCCTAGTTTTCTGCAAAACAAGCTTTAAGCAGTGACATTATGAAAGCTAAGCAAAGGAGCTAATTTGAAGGAATCAATACTAATAAAAATTAAGAAATTAAGAGTGTGCTGTCTGGGAGAAACTCAAATGCGATGAGGCCGTCAGTGTTTCTGATGCCAGGCGCAGCCGTCAAAATACTCAGAGATGGACGTGTGACACTACAGCGTCAAAATGCCTACGCAAACATGAAATGGTCAACCTAAAAGCAGCAAGAAAGCGATTTATGTATGACGCAATAATGTATGAAAGAGCTGTGAAGGAAGGTCTAATGGACAAGGTGATGGACAGGTGTGGGAAGCCCAGAACTTTAGAGAAAAATCAGAGAGAACTGGAGGAGAAGTGTGGAGGCAGTGGTGGCACTGGGATCCGTAGCCGTCAGAACAGTGTATGGTGCAGGAAGAGACAGACACATCGCCTCAGAATACAGAACTCAATGTGTCTCCATACAACCGTTCTAACTTACGGATCTGCAGGGCGGAAAACGGGGAATTCCACTTCCTTCCTGATCGGATGTTCTCACAAGCTCATTGCAATTCCGGAGGAACGTGCAGAAGAGGTCTAGTGCTACAGGTCACCCACCAACAGACACAGAGACACAGAATCCACCTACAGCTTTCAGATACCTGCGTTTGCACACTGCCCATGTTCAACGGCAATGCTAATGATGTCACTAACTGTGTCTATGACGACCGGAGAACAAAAACAAGGCAAAGGATGGCGCAAATACCCCCCGTGACCATACTGCCGTGTGAACTGCCACGCAGCAACTTCTCCTCAGGGCTGCACCAGCCTCCCGGGACCTGGGCATGGGTGTTGGCTTACCAGGAGCATGGCCTGCTCGTGGAGCAGCTGCTGCTGCAAGATCTCCAGGTGCCTCTGCTCCTCCTCCAGCTGACGGCGAATATACTCCTGCCGATCAGGGAGGGTAGACGGCCGTAAGAGTACAGCCTCCGCCTTCAGCCAAACTGCAGTTCTGCAGCCGCAGGCCTGCTTCAGACACCAACTCCCCCCCCCCCGCCCAGATGTGTCCGAGCGACACCCGCTTATCCCCTGATTGGTTATTCCGAGCTGATTGGTACCTGCTCGCGGTCGGCCCTCCTCTTCTCCTCCTCAGCCCTCCTGCGCTCCTCCTCCTCCTTGCGACGGCGCTCCATCTCCTCAATGCGTCTCTTCTCCTCCTGCTCCCGCCGTCGCTGCTCACGCTCCTGCTGCCGTCGCATCTCACGCTCACGGCGTTGTTGCTGTTGGTGACACCAGGGAGCACAGGTCAGGGCAGCGTGTAGGAGCGACGACGGGGGGGACGCGGGTCGGGGCAGCGTATAGGAGCGACGACGGGAGGAGCGACGACGGGGTACAGGGTCGTGGGTCAGGGCTGCATGTCAGGGTGACAAGCGAGGGCCGCGGTTCTGGGTGACAACGGGGGACACGGGACTGGGCTGCATATCTGCTCAATTAGGTGCCTTTTGGTCTCAAAACCAACACAGAGCTCAACGATTACAAATCTAAAAGGATTTAAATGTTTGATAACAATTCCAGAGAACTACATTATTCAGAGAACTACATTATTCAACGTATTATATAACCAACATGTCTTCAGAGATGATGCATGAACACCAGACACTCCACAATTACTCAGTCACATGTCTGAACACACAGTAACAGGGTGCCAGAAACAATACACTGTTAGTCAGGGCTGAATATAAAAAATGCATCCTTTCACTGTCAATCCATTATTCAGGCCTGGAGTCAATAAGGCAGCAATGCTGCAGCACCGGGTGCCATTTGGGGGGCAGGCTGATCAAAAGGTGAATCAGCGGCGTGACAAAAAAGGGGCTTGTAGCCGACAGTCCTGAACATCGCTCCTCACATCGCTAGTGTCACTGGTCATCTCACTGGTCATCTAGACCAGTGCCTCCCATCCCAGTTGTTGGGATCATCTACAGGGTTACCTAGAATATGCAGGCAGGGGCACAGGGGGAGGAGGCCAGCCTCAGTTGGCCGTCATCCGGCCAGCAAGGACACAGGAGGACACAGGAGGACACAGGAGGACACAGGAGGACACAGGAGGACCAAAGCGTGCCCCAAGGAGGCGGCCAGGCCGATGCCTTCAGTGTTACCGCCGCCCCAACCCACCTCCTCCAGCCGCCGCCGCTGTTCCTTCTGCTGCTCAATGCGCTTCTGCCTCTCTGCCAGCAGCTGCCGCTTGTACTCCTCCTGTTCACGGAGCTGCTGCTCCTGCAGGAGCTGCTGCCTCCTCAGAGCCTCGGAGCGCTCCTTGTTCTCCTGCTGCAGGCGGATAAAGTCCCGGCGCAGCGTCGACTCGCCGGGCACGTTGACGATGGAGCTGTGGGTGAGATATGGACAGCGATGCTGAGCTTGTCCCCAGTGTGAAGATTACAGCCCTGCTGTCAGTCAAACAGAGGCCCCTAGATATTATTAAAACCTAAGGCAACAATGTCAGGCTCACAGTCACTTCAAGGATAAGAGTTTAAGAGTTCAAACACAGTCGCCTTCCTGATATACAAGATGTCTTCAGAAACAGCTGCTGCAGTCCTGGGTAAAGCTTGGTAAAAATGTTAGGGGCTTAAATGAATCAGCCCAGACCTTACGAATCCTGACCTGAACCTGCGTAGTGTACAGCAGCGGCCTGCGTGTGTATGTGTCCAAATGCATGCTGGAGACACAAATCAGGAGTACAGAACACAGGACGGGAGTAGAGAGCTTCAGCAAAGCGTCAGTGGGGATTAACAAGGGGCACACTGGTGCGAGAGCATATGGAGGCTGTTTTTTTTTTCTCTCTTGTTAAAATCTGGCCATATTTCGTGGCCGTGACAGAATGGTGTCAGAACGGCTCTGGGTTGCCATGGAAACAAGGTGTAACACAGGTGAAATGGCTGCTGGTAACACAGGTGAAATGGGCGTCTCGGACAACGGCGCAAAATCACCAAGAGTGGTCTCTAGGCGATGCAGAAACGCGTTCCATGTTGCCATGGTTACTGTTTGGAAGAATTCTACATAGCGCCGCTAACAGATGCTGAGACTCAGAAAGTCCCGTGTGAGGGGTGTTGGCGTACCTGGGTTCCCCTTCTTGCTCTGGAGTCTCCTCTTCCTCTTCCTCACTCCCACTGTACTCATACTCGGTCTCGTCTGCACAAGAGAGTGACAAGCCACTGAACACTTCCTGTAAGACCCCCTCAAACACCACACAGGTCCAGCTCAGCACTGTGTTGGGACAGCGGGAGCGCCGAGACGACTTAACACAGAAATCCTCCATAAAATAACTCATCTAATTAAGCTGCTTGAGATTTTAAATCTGGCTTTAAGCCTAGACTATGCCAGGTTGCCTAGCACTGCAAAAGCATGGGATGTCGAGCGTTCAGTAGCTCCAAAGCAGCACAGCGTAGCGCTTAAAGAACTGGAAACTGACCAACAATGAAGGGCGAGGCTGCGGTGTGGAAACACGATACCTGGGCAGCCACCAGCAACGCGTGAGAAAGAAAGGGGTTACAAAGTCTGGGGGGGGGGCCCCCACTACGGGGACAACGGCCTAGTGACTGATGCCACTGATAGACGTGACCGCAATGTCAAAACCAGTGTTTCCCAACCCACAGTAAGCCCATGTTTTTGTCCCCCCCAGCCCCCTGCCAGTACCAGGGGGTCAGGGCCACATGTCAGACTGTGGACGAACTGCAGGTCCCTGAGGACCGGAGAAGGAAACACTGGTCTAGACTGCCTAACCAGCTCAAGCAGTCCCAATTAAAAGGACGCCTTTCAGCGCCCCCTTCCCCCCCATTGTCCTTAATCCCACCCCCATCCGCGGCAGCTCATACCCTTCTCGCCCCTCTTCTTGCGGGTGCGGTCGATGTGATCCTTCAGCTGGATGCGGACCTGCCTCTCGTTGGGCTGGTCCCGGATGAAGGGGTGCTTCAGCAGCTGCTCTGTCGGCGGCCTCTGCATATAGTTCTTCACCAAGCAGCTTTCGATGAAGCTGAAGAACTTCTTAGACCTGCGGAGAAGCCGACAACATTACTAACCTCACAGTGCGTCTCTAACGGCAGCGACAGTCAGACCTGGAGCTGCCTTTACCTGAACATTAGTGGCATCGGGTCGGTCAGATACTGTCCTAGAAGGATTGCAGGCCCACCAGCTTCCACCCCATCTCTACCTTTTAATATCGACTTCCAGCTATAAACGTCTGATCACAAACCATTTCACTGCAGGTTCAGGAAATCTCTGATCTCATTTACAGGAGTTATATGAGTATTGATAATTAATTAGAAAACCCAGAAAAAAACAGCTCAGGAGGCAGTTAACCCAACGCCGTGGATTCAGTCACTTTGTGGGGGGGTGTTTCTGCAATCGACATCTGCACATAAGCCGTGGAGTTGGTCACGCGTCACCCCACACAAATGGTATTGTTTGCGGCGCTCCCTCATTAGACCTCGGCCCAGTAACGCCCTGCCTTTACGACTGCAGGACTCAGCAGCTCACATGGGGAAGAGACGGATCAGACGGCGAAAGCAGACAGGCTTCAGGGATGAGGCCAGGAACGGATTGCAGCCAAAAAAAGCAAAATGTCTGCTTTACAGGCCTGACGAGCCTTACGACAAGCGGCCTCATATTTTGCTGCATTAAAAAAAAAAGCAGTGACTGGAATGTGAGACCAACAGCTGAATTAAGCACCTAAAATCAAATTCGCTGAGCTAAATATAACAGCACAGATAAGGCTGTGCTGTCACTCAAGGGGTCATCAAAGGGAGCCGACCTATATAAACTAATCGTCTCTCAGACTCGACTAGGACCATTTTCTGCACCTGGCTGCTCCTGACTTCTGTCATCAGTGCTGCCAGAGAGCTACTGCAAGACAAATTGCTACTGTGGGAACTAACTCCCACATAGAGATAGGTTATCCGGAAGAGACGGCCCTATCAGGGCTGCAAGGCCGTGGCGGATTCAGCCAATCCGGAGCCGCGGGCCTCCCCCAGGAGCCCCACACGGAAAAATCTGTCATTTACATACACATTTATATTCATATCTTTGCTGGGACTGTCCATTTCCTCAAGGGGAAAGCCATAACCGCAGCAATGACGACCTTATCCTCTACCCAGCCTTAACCTTACCCATAAGTAACCAAACAGAATAAAATACTTTAAAAGACTTCTGGTATTTGGTCCTCACAATGTAATATATACAAATTCCTCCCTCTCTCACACACACACACATTCCTGAGTAAATTTGAACCCACCATTTCTTGGACTTGAGCCTTGGTGGGGGGTTCCTGGGGATGAGGAAGAGCGCCCTCATCGGGTGCATGTCGCACAACGCTGGGAGACAGAACAGGGCAGCCGTCAGATATCGGGAAAGAGGATCACCAGCGAATAGAGCTGGGTGCTGCACAACAGGGCAGTTAGTGAGAAACACGAGGAGATGCAGGTGGACATGCGACAGCTCAAGGGGACCAAGGCAGCCCACAGGAAAACACGAGAAAGCGAGAGAGAGGGCTGACAGAGGTAGAAGGAGAGCGAAAAACAAGAACAGAGAAATGTAGAAAGACTAGGATGGATTAAAAGACTTACTAATCACAGGTATCTATGTATATTCACTATACACGTTTTCTGCTATGAAAGTATTCTGGGAGCGCAGGAGGAGGGAGGAAGAGAGTGTAAAGAGGAGGTGAAAGGGAGCGGCGTCGGGCGAACTCACGGGGAGCCCCCTCTGCCATCTCGATGGCCGTTATCCCACAGGACCACAGGTCGCTCTGCAGAGACAGACATGGTCAGGTACCGGGCCTGGGCCTGCAGTCTGCACTTCCATCTCCATCCCCCAGGGGGCATCCCCCCACAGCTCTCCCCACTGACACCACGAGGGAGCACTGCTTCGACAAAGCCACCCGCAAGCGTCTCACCCTGTAGTCGTAGGTGGCATCAGGGTTTTCATCGCAGGCAATGACTTCGGGGGCCATCCAGTACGGCGTCCCGATGAAGGTGTTCCTCCGGCCCACGGTCCGGTCCAGCTGGGCACTCACACCAAAATCCACTGAAGGACACAATCAAAGGAAACCAGTTTCAAACAAGTCCTGTACCTGAGAAATAAAATATCACATGGAAACCATGTTGGTATAAACACACAATATACAACCGTCTTCTCTGTTGGGTGACGTTAAAAAGGCAGCAGTAAAGCTTCATTCGGGTTTACAAAAAAAAAGACGATTGGACTCGGCAGCAAAGCCAGCCCTGGTCCCCCCAGAACCTGCCCTGTCTCCAGCCTTCACTCACCCAGCTTGACCTCGGCGTTCTCTGTCAGCAGGACGTTCTGGCCCTTGATGTCACGGTGGATGACGTGGTGGGCGTGCAGGTGGGCCAGACCCTGCAGAGAGAAGGCGAGAGGGGTGATGAGGAGGAGGAGGAGAGCAGAAGCGTGTCTGGACATCCACAGAACCCTGGAGGAACTGAGGATGAATCTACCCAACACACTTGGAAGGTGCAAAGAGAAAGAAGAGGAGGGAGAGAGGAGGTGGAGGAGGTAGGTGGGGGGGGGGGGGGGGGCACTCACCCGGAGGATTTCACGGGAGATGTAGGCGATCCAGTCCTCCTTCAGGCTGTTCCCCTTAGTGTTCTTCACGAGGTCAGTGATGGAGCCCGCCCCACAGAACTCCATGACCAGCTGGGGGGGAACGCAGAGGTACATGAAGCTCGACACGCGGACACGCCTGTGACTATGCAGGCACGCAAAGGCTCAATCTGTAAACCACCTACAGTCTGATTACAGAGCGGGACATCGCCATGAAGGGGTCAGGCACCAAATCAACATGACAGACGCTGTGATATGGAGGCAACAAAAATGCTTTTAATCTTCCTTCATGAAATGATACAGGTGTGGAGGGGCTGCTGTGTCACAGCAGAGGCATGATAGGAACTCTGGAAGGATGAGGGTGTGTGTGTGTGTGTGTGCGCACGCTGAGGGGTGGAGGTCAGTTGGAGACTCACCCAGAGCTGGTCATCATGGCCTGGGGGGCTCTTCTTAATGAACGCACCATAGTAGGTGGCGATGTTTCTATGGTGAGAGTACTTCTTCAGCATGTTGATCTCCAGCTTAATTTCCTCCTCCTCATCCTAAAACACATTCAGAGAGAGAGAGAGGGAGAGAGAGAGAGGGAGGGGGGGGGGGTCATATTTTGTTTTTTTCCCCACAGAAAAGCCGTTATAGCTTCAGAGCCTTAACAAAATATAAACCAACCGCTTACACATGCCTGATTTCAATTATGTGCCTCTTTGCTTAAAGCAAACTTTACAGGCTGCATGTTGGCCTCCCTCGTTCTAAAGGCCTCCAGGCTGACGAGCTGTTCGCTTAATGGCCTGCAGAACCTTCTACACTGGTTACCGCCCTCAGTGGTGGTGCTTCTCTAAAAGATCTGCGCTCAACTTCCAGCACGTTGGCCAAGAGCAGGGTGATGGACTGGAGGGGAATCTCAGGACAGGTCACACATCTGCCATGCAGGATAAGCGTATTCCTAAACATGGGCAACTGCTGCTCTATGTGCAGCATACGTCTCACACAGGAACTGGGGGTGGGGGAATCCCCCCCCCCCTCTGCAGTTTCCTCACTTCCTGCCGTAGTTTTTAATTCACCCTTCCTGTCATCACTCCTGCAGTTTCCACTTGTTTTTCCATGGGGTGATTCACACGTGGATTTTGGGCTTGGCCCGGCAAAGGAAGACCTGCTACCGGGGGGGGGGGGGGGGGGGGGGGGCACTCACCCGGAGG